GGATGCAGTGTGTGTGTTAGTGTAGTGAATGCAGTGTATGTGTTAGTGTAGTGGATGTAGTGTGTGTTAGTGTAATGAATGCAGTGTGTGTGTTAGTGTTGTGCATGCAGTGTGTGTGTTAGTGCAGTGAATGCAGTGTGTGTGTTAGTCTAGTGGATACAGTGTGTGTGTGTTAGTGTAGTGAATACAGATTGTGTTAGTGCAGTGAATGCAGTGTGTGTGTTAGTGTAGTGGATGCAGAGTGTGTTAGTGTAGTGGATGCAGTGTGTGTGTTAGTGTAATGGATGCAGAGTGTGTGTTAGTGTAGTGAATGCAGTGTGTGTGTTAGTGTAGTGGATGCAGTGGGTGTGTTAGTGTTGTGCATGCAGTGTGTGTGTTAGTGCAGTGAATGCAGTGTGTGTGTTAGTGCAGTGAATGCAGTGTGTGTGTTAGTGTAGTGGATGCAGAGTGTGTTAGTGTAGTGGATGCAGTGTGTGTGTGTTAGTGCAGTGAGTGTGTGTGTGTGTTTACTACTGTATGCATGTAATGTAATAACTGTTATTCCCCCCTCCCTGTTTCTTACCTGGTTCAGGAAGGGGGGAAGATGCTATGTTCCCTGGTGGTCTGGCTCCCTGATATGATCGCTATATATATGTGCAGCCGCGGGCCCCTGGCTCTCTGTATTTGCAGAGGGGGCCCAGCAGACTGCATCTGTACTTTACAGCATTTCCCTCGCTCTAACTCCCGCGAGACGTGGTGTGCGTGCCGCGCGGAGCATTGCCATGGTAACCCATAGAGCGAGGGAAATGCTGTAAAGTACAGATACAGTCCGCAGGGCCCCCTCTGCAAATACAGAGAGCCGGGGGCCCGCGGCTGCACATATATATAGCGATCATCGCTTTATATAGGTGCAGAGAGTAATTGTGGGGCCCTGGACTGCCAAAGCAGTCCAGGGCCCCACAGGACCGCCGGGCCCGTGACAACCGTTATGGTTGTCATCCCCTGATGGCGGCCCTGGCTGTGTGGGTATAAATACATTGTGGCGGAACCAGCCTCGCCACTGGGCATTGGAGAAGACTGATTGCCAGCCTCCTGCCCTGTTACTATGGCCCCATGTTGAAATGCTGGATTTTTCCCTGCAAAGACCCGAAAGCTGGGTCATTCGGTACATTCCCTATGTGAGCAGTGTTACCCCAGCTAGCTATGCCATGGAGCCCATTTGTATAATGAAGGACTATGTGAAAGACTTTGGCTCCATGGCAAATGAACTGTGTGTATGTGGTCTGAGCGCCAATTCAGTAATAATTTGCTCTCAGATCTAAGCAATCTGGGGATATGTTGAATGTACCCGTTTTATGCAATTACTGCATAGTTATATATTTTTATGTATTTTATTGTATTTTGCTACCATGTGGCTAATGGAGTTTTGCCTCTGTCCTTGGAGATAATTGGATTTATCTATCTATTATCTCCAGGATAGAAGACTCTGTGGAACTGGTTTTGGGCAGAAAAACCATGCTTCATTTTGTCAAATAGGACTTTCCCTTAACTTTTTAACCCCTGAACCGATTGCTTTGATTTTTGAGTATGTGTATATTTCAAGCATGTGGATTCTGAAAATGTATGTTTTATGTGAATGACATGTATATCTTGGAAGTTATTAATATTTTGTAAAAACTGTATTTCTCTGCCTGTGATAATTATATTACCCATTGTGTTCAGTAATCATAGAACAGGCAGAAAGGAGGATTTTGTGTGGGAGTGTCTGTGTGTATTGTACGGATTGATTGGTTGTATTTCAAAACCCTATGGGCAGTACTATGTTTGTGGATTGTGAATAAAAGAGGCTGTATGTGCCAGTACAGTCAGTTCTGCTTGACCTCAAAACAAAGTGTTCGTCTCGTTATTGGGGGAATTGGATTGTATGCTGATTGCCAGGAGTGTAAGCTGATTGTATGCTTTTCCTGTTCAGCTGCTTACAGCATTCAATGCTTGAGAGCATTTGTATGCTTCTCCGGTTCGGTGGTTGTGGTGTCTGCTGCAGTGCTTGGAGTCCTCAGGAAGCGCTAGGAGCATCCTTCAACGGAGGTACCCAGTCGGGGTGCCAGGTGATCCGTTACATTGGTGGCAAGCGGTGGGATGGCGTCCTAGTGCAAGGTAAAGCAGCTCAGAGACACCGTTCGTGGAGTTACAAATTGAGGGCAACGCTAGCACTCGTGCAGCACCCCTGGGAGCAGAGGTATCCAGCGACTTGGAGCAGACAGGTATGGAAGGCTCTGAAGATGATTGGCTTGCCCAGGTGAGGCAGCGAGTGGCCCAGTATGGGGATGTACCCATGGAGATACGCCGGGTGATCTGGAACCAGGTCACGGCCGAGCAAAACACAAGGCTGGACCAAGAATTCCAGCTGGCGAATGAGAGAGAGTATGCTCAGCGGAAGGAGTGTTACAGCAGCCGAGTAGAGGCTGCATCCGAGGAGGTTAGCCGTCTTCCCCTGAGGCGGCCGTAGGAACCCGAAGTAGGGGTTCTCATAGACTGGTCCTGTGAGGAACCACAACAGGCAGGTGGAGATGGGACCGACGTCTCTCCACCACGCCCACCGGGATGCTGGGCAGCTGGCCCAGATCCCCAGCAGCAGCCGGAGTTGCGAGGTGCAGAAGCAGGTGGTCCTTACTCGCAAATGTTGAGACCTCACAGACTGGTCCTGGGAAGACCCACAGATGGCAGGTTGAGATGGGACAGCAGGGATGCTGGGCGGTTGGCTCAGATCCCCAGCAGCAGTTTGTATCACAGGGAGCTGAAGGTGCTGTCCTTCCTCCCCAGTGGCAGTATGTATCACAGGGAGCCGAAGGTGCCGTCCTTCCTCCCCAGCGGCTGTAAGTGTGTAAGGGAGAGGAGCTTGTTACCCCCTCTCCCCAGCGGCAGCATAGCCCACCAAGGGGAGACACTAAGCCCCCCCCAGCACAGATGAGACCGTGGTCTCTGCGCCCAAGCTACAGGGAGTACAGACAGTCGGTACTGCTCCACAGCAGCAGAGTATTCTACCAGGAGGGGAGAGTCTCATTCCCCCTCCCCAGCGGCAGCCTAGCCCACCAAGGGGAGATGATAAGCCCCACACTGGTGCAGATGGGACCATGGTATCTGTGCCCAAACCACAGGGTGTAGGGACAGTCGGTCCTGTCCTCCTGCAGCAGGACTGTTTATCAAAAGGAGAGACAGTTGGTCTCCCCCTCCAGCAGCAGCACCGGGTCCAGGAAGAGAAGCCTACCACCCCCTCTTCACAGCTGGGCTCCAACCAGACTACTCCAGCTGAAGTGCTGGCACCAGGGCAGAGTACCGCTGGTCTCTGCCCACTCAGCAACCCACAGATCGGGAGTACCTGTACCAAACATAGCTGTGATGGAGCCCCTGGACAAAGACTGACTGCACGTTTCCCCAGGTGCAGTAACCTTTCATTGTGGGTAGCTGGACTAACCAAGGCACTGACCGACAGGAGGCCAGATACCTTGTTAGTCTTTTTGGGAAAGGGGAGAAATGTGGCGGAACCAGCCTCGCCACTGGGCATTTGAGAATACTGATTGCCAGCCTCCTGCCCTGTGACTATGGCCCCATGTTGAAATGCTGGATTTTCCCCTGCAAAGACCGTATGGTAGCCCAGGAATGAGAATTACACCCATGAAGGCATACCATTTGCAATAGTAGACAACTCAAGGAATTACAAATGGGGTATGTCCAGTCTTGTTTAGTAGCCACTTGGTCACAAATGCTGGCCAAAGTTAGTGTTGATATTTATGTGTGTGTAAAAAATGCAAAAAACTAATTTGAACGCCAATTTTGGCCAGTGTTTGTGACCAAGTGGCTACTAAAAAAGACTGGACATACCCCATTTGCAATACTTTGGGTTGTCTACTTTTGCAAATGGTATGCCATCATGCGGGTAATTTTCATTCAAGGGCTACCAACCTGGCGA